ACGTGTGCACAAACTCTGGCCATGTGTTCCCCTCTTCTTCTGATACTTCCTCTTCTTCTTCTTCTCTTTTTTCTCCAGGGTACGAATATGCTTCCTCAATTTGAGAGTGAAACCAGAAGGCGTGTTGCTCTTGTCACGCATGTAGATAGTAGAATGCAATCTCACGCCACTCTCCATGAGCAGTAGAACCTTCTCGCTCTCCCCAGATTCCAAAACTCCACTGCTGTTCATCAGCTTAAACACGTAGGTCTGCAGAGAAGGAAAATGGAATCAAATCGAATTGAGGAAAGTGAAAGAACGAAAAATGAAAAGGGAGGAGCTACCTTCGGAGAAAGATCGTAGACGTTGGAGCACCGCATTCCAATGAAGCGCCGGAGGCATTTAACCTCGGCGGCTACATCGGCGGTGTTCATTCGCACCTTCACCATCTTGTGTTAGGGTTTTGATAAATTAGTGCGAGGGGGTAGAAGAAGAAAAGAATATAATTTTATAGTGTGTTTTGATTTAATTAATTAGAATGGTTTTGGAGAAGAAGAAGAGGGAAGAGCATGAATGTATATTCTGTTCTGTATTTGGTTGCAGGGAGAGGAAGAGAGACAAGGGGAGGCTTTTAGTCTTACACTTTTAATTTTTGGTGGGTTTTGCTTCCCTCCCTCACTCCCTTCCAAGCCAATGCTCGGACAACACTAATTCCAAATGCGTCGCCGTCTTCCCTTCTTCTCCGGCCGCCTCCGCCATGTACTTCTCCCCAATACCACCAATCCCCTGCGGCCAATTTCAGTTTTTCCTATCCTGCACCCACCTCTCTCCTCCCCTCGTCGTTTCTCCTCTTCCACCCTCTCCAGAGACGATGGCGTCTCCCTCTGCTGTCAGATGTGGATCGACAACTTCCGCCACCCCGACCGCGTCGTCACCTCCATCTCCCCCCTCCTCCGCCGCTTCGACCTCTGGCTCCTCGCCTACCAGAAAGTCGCCACCGACGACACGGGCTCCTACGTCCCCCGCTCCTCCATCTCCACCTCCACCCTCCAGGACCTTCTCGCCCTTCGCAACGCCGTCCTCGACGGAAAATTCAAGTGGGGCGCCAGACTCAAGTTCTTCGTGAAATCCCCGCGAGACAAAACCGTTGCTGCTTATTTGTGGTATATAAAGGCTGATTTTAGTGTTTTGTTAGATGGGATGAAAGTGGGGTTGGTGATCAATGCTGTCATGAGGGATGTTAGGGATAAATTGATTGTTGATTTGATTAAAGACGCTCTGGTTACGCCGGTGGTTGTCACTACCCTGGAGAAAAAAGAGAAGAAGAAGAAGAGGAAGTATCAGAAGAAGAGGGGAACACTTCATGGCCAGAGTTTGTGCACACGTCATTACCACTGTGACTCATTTGCCACGTTAGTGCCAAATAATCAGCCACTTAACACCGTTAGTGTGTATTTAACGGAGATGACTACATTGACACAAATTTTTTCTATGTTTGGATTTAATTGACACTTTTACACCACGTGAGGACGACAATGAAACTTTTTTAAAAATGAGGATGAATTTGACACAATTCAACCAAACTGGGGACAAAGGAAGCAATTCAACCTAAAACAAACTAATTCTCTGAATTAAAGTTTTTCATTAAAAAATGTACCGCAGTATACCTTATGCTACCAACTGTCGACAAGTAACCCAGGCGATCGTTTGCCGAGACTTCTCACGATCATAATGTCACGATCGTAGGTATGTCGAACGCTTCTTAACATCATAACATTTACATACTAATGTCGACCACTTGGCAATCGACAACCAGTGATGTCGCGACATATAGCGCTCACACGACAACTCGCATGTTTGTGTCGACACACAAGACGATCGATATATATTGAGCGATATCTACGATGTCATAGTAAACGGTTTAGCGGTTAAGGGTAAACAGTTACGAATATTAGTCAACGACGCGAATCACGGGAATAACCGACCCTGTATCGAACACGATCTAACAGTTACAATTTCCAGGTAGTCAACTTCGGTAACTGACCGGATTTTCAGGTAAATGGTTTATTTTACTGTTTTAAATATGAAGATCAGAGCAGAAAAAAGGTACCCAGCCCATTTTCCCATCAGAGAGCATAACACAGGAAGAGATACATCACGGTAACAGCATTGCAGGGAGAAGCAGTTAAGTTTTGTTAGGTTCGTATCTCGGTCTCCGCATCCATACGGAAACAAAAAGTAATAAATATTAAACTTAAATTAAGAAAATCATACATATATAATTTCAACGGACAATTGCTATCACAGTAAATAACCATAAATAAACATTGTGAAAAACTATGTCGGTCAAAAGAGAAACAAAATTGTGCAAATTTTTA